TGTTGTCATGTGCTTACTTTGCCCGGTGGTAGAGGCTAAGTATAGGAATGGAAATAAAACACTTAATATCACAGTCAAGGTCATTATTTCAAACAGAAATTTCTTTTTGTGAAATTAAAAAATAGCCTTTTATGTAAAAGTGTCAGTCTTTTCTTTTCCTCGTTTCGCCGACAAAAACAATTGGAAGAGGAAAAAGGAAAAGTGAGATGACAATGACCTGAAAATGCCGTGTTCTCGTATTTTTCAAAACAGAAAATGTTATAAACTACACGTTAAGACAAAGGAGAAGAAAGACTTTTTAAACATAATCATGACAGAATTCTCCGTCGTTTTTTGAAACTCATTTGAAGAGAAATGACAAGTGTAAAATCTTATGATAGAGTATACTTATTAGAGAAAAAGCGTGGTTGAAGATAGTAGGCTAACCGTTTCGCAAGGATGTTGTTCGAGCTGTTAGTAAACGTTGTTAGGTTACTCTGGCGTGTATTCACACATGAATAAAGTGTGATACTTGTTGCGTTTTTTAAAAAACCTTTTTATACAATTCAACATTGATTTCGATACCTATGACACAGTTTTCGTGATTATTCAAAAAGAAAGCCTAAATGTTAATAGAAGGTATTTTCAATCGTACTGAAAGTGTTGTGTTTTATTATATTTAATGCATATCTGAAACCAGCGGTGTGCGATATCGGTCAATTGTACCGCATTCCTATGTCTTCATAGAATGAGTCTTCTAATAGTGGCAATTGTAACAAAAATTTATTATTTCTTAATATTTTATTCACATGGTTTGGATTCTTAATTATTTTTTTTATCGAAAACGAGATAGAGCTATAAATGGGACCAGTAGATCAGCGTCAGTTTTTTATAAAATTAATCATGATCATATATAAATAATCAATTCGTGTCAAAAATTGGTCTAGAAGAACGATTATTAGCACATATTTCCTCAATTTTTCCTTCATCTTAAGTAATATTGCTGCTGAATGCAATGTATAATATACAAATGATTGAACACTTTTAGAACTGTGATTAGCTTTACCTGACTATTCATGATCATCCAAAAGGTACAAATCCACGTAATCATTTGCTTTTGCTCTCTCAAGCTCGATATCAATCGTACTGTTTAGAATTTTCAAAACTTTGAATCTGTTTAAGAACATTTATTCATTTCAAACCAGTACTACATTTCTTAATTTCAATAACTGAGATTTGAGGGTGGTTTTCGTGAAGTTGTCCAACGATGTGTATCAATCGAATAACATCGTGTATTCTTCAAAGATCTTTCGAAGCATGTGCTCATCAATATTCTTTGAAAAGCGAATCAACAAAATATATAGATCAGAAAATGAATTAGAGTATATCCTGGAAAACCATTTAAAAAATATGTTTGCGGTACGGTATAATACTAAGAAAGACAGAAACATCGGCCTCTTATGCATAATACTCATTTCAGTATGAATAGCAAAAGGTACTGTAAGCAATGTATTTTCCATGATTTTCTCTATCCATAGTTAAATGTTTTCAACATCTTATGTGATTATTTACAATAATCCAGTATTATCCAATTCATCATTCACTGATTAAATCAGATCGTAGCTTATGTCGAATTCTGATATTTGCAGATTGAGTACGCGCACAAACATTCCTATAGATGTCGCGTTGCATACTCTTATAGAGGTACTTGTTTAGCAACATATTTTCATATACTAGCAAATGATGAATGAAACATGCAAACATCTAAGTCTAACTATTCGATAGGCAAATAGTTCCTATAATCGACAATGGCTACAATGGCAGCATCGAATACACGTGACGTAGGCCCAAAAGATTTAGGATTACGTAATAACTCTTCGACTAAAATTGATCTGGCGAATATTGCTGACGTTCCTTATTATGTTGAAAGTAATTTTGCGTTTCTGAGGTGTATCTTGTCGACAAAGCCTTTGCTTGTAGAGCGATATGTTCGTGCTGTTGATGAAAACGGTGATGAATTTCAATATGAAGAAGTGCCTGTTGAAGAATTCTATGATGATGGTATTTATTTTAACAGAAATCGATTATCGACATCCGAAAAATTGATTTCGTTTTAGAAAAGGAAGAAACACTCGATGCATTGATTCGAAATGTTAAAGATCAACAACGCGAATCGCAAGTCATTCCAACTACAGTATGACAGCATTTTGAATATAAAATCGGTTACTTTTGAAAATTTCTTTTCTAGACTTCTGCATCGATTTCTCGAGGTTCATTGACAACTGAGCCTGAAGCTGTTGATGATTTTGTTCGTAATTTTCTCGTTCGTATGGGTATGAAAAAGACTATGCAGCAGTTTCAAGTGGAATGGCATAATCTGTCATCATCGGGACGAATCAAAACCAATGAAGCTGGTTATTTACCAGATGTTGTTAAACACAATGAAGAATTGAGCGAAAAAATGAGATTATTACAATCAGAAGTTGATCGTTATCGAAAATCAGCCGAGTAAGTTCATTGAAAGGATTCTAACGAATCATTCTTTCGATATTTCAGGAAAGCACGAGAAGAATTTATCAAAATGAAGAAAGAACGTGACTATCATCGACAACATCACAATCGTATTGCACAAGAAAAGAATAATCTTGTCACTTTTATCAAACGGTACCTACAGAAAACGTTCCTCGTATCGATACGTATATTTTTCTCTACGTCTAGATTGAAATCTCATCTATCGACTTATGAACCACAATTAGATGAATTGAAAACGAAATACGATTCTGCCGTTCGAGAGAAAATGTTGTATAAATTGGAACGCGATAAAATGCAAAGTGAATTGAATGCTCTAAAATTATCCACATCAACGTCATACCAAAGTAAGACATCGTAGAATTTCGAAGAAATCGATTAGAGTATATCTGTTTAGATCATATAGACGGAAGTTTAGGATCAACACAATCGAAACTTCGAGAACTACGATTGAAAGAAGAGAAGAAGAAAGTTACAATAACTGATGCACAAAGACGATTAGAGGGCTCAATGGACGATACAAATCAATCGAATGCACAAGTTAGACCACACATTTCTTCGAGATTTTGTTTTGAAGCAAATAATTTTTCCTAGGATTCGGAATTTCCAACGGATACAGGAAATAATCCGTATTTAAATCGATTTGCTGAAGATGCTTTCCATCGTTCGACATTAACATTAGCGAAGGAACTCTTAGCACACGAAGGTCCAATCAGTTGGTAAGGAAATCGAAAGATTTGTATCAGACATTGACGATCATTTTTAAATTAGTGCTGCTATTCATCCACGTAAACATGTGGCTATAACTGTGAGTGAAACGAAAGTGTTCATCTCTTTTTGAACGACGCCTTGCTTCTCTTTAGGTTAGTGATGATCGATCATGGAAAATGTGGGCCATTCCCGAAGGTGATATGATTATGAAGGGTGAAGGACATGCCGATTGGGTGTAAGACGTTTCAAGATGAATAGTGATAAGCACAGAATTCCTTGGTTTTCAATAGATCTGGTGTTGATTTTCATCCAAGTGGAAATAAGATGGCTACGTGTTCGGGTGATACGACGGTTAAGCTATGGGATTTTTCGCAAAAGAAATGTGTTCATACGTTTACCAATCATCTTCTACCTGGTAAAACGATGCTGTAAATGTTGGATACGAGTCTTTCATCTGTTTTGTTTAGTCTGGTCTGTCAATTTCCATTCATGTGGAGATTTTATCACATCAGCCTCTCAAGACAAAACTGTTCGATTATGGGATTTGAATAGGTAGACATTTTTGCTTGAGAGTATATTTACATCTGTTTGTTGGTTTTAGTCTTCGTTGTCGAATGGTGATGCGTGGACATCAAGATTCTGTTCATTCGGCTGAATTTTTAATGTTTTCCAATATAATTGTATCCAGTTCCGTTGATAAAACTGTCATGTTATGGGATGCACGAACAGTAAATAATAAATTTCAAATGAACAATTCGACATTCACATTTGTTCTTTGATGATCGTTTAGGGTTTAGCTGAACATACTTATGCTGGCCACGCAAATGCTTGTAATCAAGCAACGTTTAATTTACGAGTAAATAATCTTTTGTTGCGATGAAAAGTTAAGACAAAACGATGAATTTTTATTAGGGCGATGCAATTGCATCATGTGATACGAAAGGAGTAGTGAAAATCTGGGATGTCAGAACAGTTAAAAGTATTGTTACGTTAGATTTTGGACCATATTCAGCGAATAGTGTTTCATTCCATCCAGCTGGTAAGTAAACATTCATTTACCAGCAAAATCGATCGATTAATTTCCGTTCAAGGCCAATTATTAACCACAGCGTCTGGCGATCGAACAATTAAACTTTACAATATTAGCTCCGAAGAGGTGAGATTTGCTTATTGTTATTTTCTTCTTTACCCAAATTTCTCTCGTTTCTTTTAGTTAATTCCGTTAAGTAGTCATACTGATGAAGTTCAATATGTTAAATTTGATCTTAAAGGACAGTATATGATTTCTACTGGTCGCGATCGAACCCTACGTATTTGGTCTTAAATTTGTAGAATTTTATTTTGTTTCTTTTTTCTTCTTTGATAAGAATATATACAAAAGCACATTTATTCGACTATAAACTTTTTCTTTTTTCGAAAATAAACATTTCAATTCTGAAAAAGTACAACATCGACTTCTCTGTACTCTTCAGTGCATACAGTAGTGCACCGTACGCTGCCGATAGATAATCGAGAATGATCGATACAGAAAATTTCGAGAATCAAATAGATATATTTCGTGTGCTTTGTCATTCCACATCATTCTCTATCGAGGGTTAACGAATATACGTAAATCGTATATCTCTCGTTCTATGTTTCTTCCTTTGTGTTCAACAAAGGGAGAGTGATAACTATAGAACTAATGTTGTTCGTTCATGAAGGCCTGGTCGACGATTTCGACATTATAAATAGTGTTGCTGTGCGTTAGTTTACTTTACAACTCCTTTTCTTCAACCATAAAGATGAATGTATGTATAGAAAGTCGATGATGTAGTTACTTGGACGAAGATTTCTTTCTGTGTTCTAGTGGTCTTTGATCATTCTCGGTTTGGTTGCGTTATCAAGCGTAGCCATTGCTGAAAAGTAATCCTTGAATTGCAAAGTTCAACATTCAATAAAATCTTCTGATTTTTCTAGCTCGTATCTTATTATCGCACCTAAACTTCTCAAAGTTGGGTTCGACAATCAACTTTCCGTTTTTATTGCTGCGGCTTCACAACCAGTTGAAGTCAAGTATGAATTAATTATCGGACAACAACGCGTCAGCGGTTCAACCACAGTCAAAGCCGGTATGTTCATTTCGATTTCGAATTTCAGTTTTTCTCTCACGGTTCTCTTCTAGGTGAAACACGTAATGCCACCATTACCCTTCCAATGGAATTTCCAGTTGGTGCTGCTGAATTAATCTTCACAGCAACTGGCGGTATTCGTTTCGAAGATAAACGTGACGTTATTGTCTATGACAACCGTTATGTTCTTCTCGTTCAAACATCATCATCCAGCTATCGCCCAGGTGATGATATGGAACTGCGCCTCATTGCTACCAATGACGAACTTCTTCCACTTGAAAACTCGGCTGCTGAAATTGAAATCTACGATGCTAACCTCAAACTTGTTGGTGAATTTCCAATTGTCCCAATTCGTTCTGGCATTTCAGACACAATTATCTTTCCAATTGGTGAATACTGTAATGTTGGTACATGGCTCGTTTCAGCCACCATTGGCAATACCACATCATCTGTTGAAGTAATTGTTACTCGTCCAATGACTCCATCATTTGATCTTAAAGGTATCTTCCAACGATTCTTTCTCCGTACAGACAAATTCCTTCGTGGTGTTATTGAAATCGATAACGATAACAACGAACCAATCTTCGGTCGTGGTTTAATTGCCGTCGGTTCAATCACTGAAGAAGATGTTCAAAACATGATGAAAGAACAAGCTGAAAAAGCAGAAGAAGCTCGTCGCAACCCATCACTAAAACCCAAACCAGAACCAGTTGCTGAAGAATGGCGCAAATGGAAATCACAAACCATGGACATTGCTGGCCGTATTGAAATCAACTACGATCTTATGACATTATTCAACGTTGATATCACAAAAGTCATTGCTGTTCAAGTTTACGTTCAAGTCACCGATCTTGAATCAGGCCAAGAACGTTTCATTCAACATGTCATTCCAGTGTTTTCACGTGATGTTGTTTATGACATTCGTCCACTTGAATTCGAAGCTGGATTCGAAAACGAATTCGAACTTGTTGCCAAACGCCCAGATGGTAAACCAGCCAAAATGGAAGATGTCATTGTCACACTCACAATGATGATTGGTAATGAACAAGGCAAAGTCCAAGATCAAAAAATGGTCGAAATCAAAGATTTCTACACACGGTATGAGTGAAGATTTCCTTCGTATCAGTTTATTTATATTGATTTCTCTTTCAGTGGTCGCAATGATATTGCTTTCTTCAATGTTGAAATCCCAGAAAACTGCATTGGTCTTCTCATGACAGTAAGAAGCATTTACTTTCGGTGTTGCCATTTCTTATATTTACTCTCTTTCGCTTAGATTACACCATTGAGTGAAGATGGTAAAGTCCGTGGCTATCGTACACATGCTATTCCACTTATGCCAAAACCACGACGTGGTGTTAGCGGTGGCAAATTGACAATTGAACTTTTACCAGGAATGACAGCTCCAGTTTCAACTGATGCTTCAGTTATCAGCTCACAAATCTCAACTGTTGGTCGTACATCAAACTTCTACATTCAATTAGTTCCAGCTAAGACAATGAAGAAATTTGAACCATTACCAATGTCCTTCGTTATTTTAACCAACGGTCGTATCACACGCACTGGTCAATTTTGGATCAAACCAACAAAAGAATGCGGATCAATGAAACGTGCTATCAAAACAGAAGAACCATCAGCTCCAATCTGTGTCTTCAATGGTACATTACCAGTCGAAGTTACACGTGATATGGTTCCATACTCAACTTTACTTGTCTATACCTTCCAACCAACATTCGGTTTCAATGTTGCTGAAACATACCGATTCTCAGTTGCTGGTCTCTTCCAAAGTACATTAACATTGAATGCTACAATTGTTCCATATTCATTCACAAATGCAATGGTTGGTAACAACAACGATGAATCAGTCGAAGATTTCAGTTCATCGGAAGATGTTGATCTTAACTCGGTTCCACTCTCCAAACTTGCTCAAGACAAAAAACGTATCGAACTTTCATTCGCCGGTACACCAGACTCAACTGTTGGCCTCAACGTTATGGAATACGATGCCGTTATTCAAGGTTTATCAACCCGAATGACCAAAGAACGTGTTCTCCAATATTTAACATCATACGAACAAGTACCTATTCTCGGTATGCCAACCATGACACCAACAGGACAAAGCGGAATGAACAAACGTGAAGATGGTGAAGGTGATCTAGAGGATGATGTGAAAAAACCAGAAACACGAGCTGTCTTAAGCGAAGAAGGTGAAGAACGCAAAATGGTTCAAGAACAAATGGTATAGTTAAAATCTTGTTTTGCTGATTATTATTATTCGAAATCATTTCTTTTTTAGGGATACAAAGTTCGTTACCCAGTCGAATGCATGATCTTCGGTGACTGCTCATCCCGTCAAACAAAGACAGTCGAAGGTGATGATGCATACACAACATCAAACATGGGACGATTATATGGTGATGTTCAATCTCGAGGACCACAATCACACTATCGCCGACGTGCTTTGAAATCAGGCCAATTCGATGCTATTGTTGATGACAACGCCTACGTTGTTGCTACAAGCACTCCACTTGTCTTCAAACCAACTCCAGGTGCTACACCCATGCGACCAGAAGAAGAACGACAAGATAAAGATGATGTTGAACTTGAACAAGGACAATCGCGTCAACACGGTACTCCATCATGGTACGAAAAAATGCACAGCAAATTGACACCAATCACCCAAGAAGCATTCACCTTCATGCAATCAGGTTTAACAGTTGTTTCTGACTTCTCTGCATTAAACCTTCCAGCTGAAATGCGACGAACAAACTTGACCAAATTATTCTCACAAATGCGTCAACGATCATTTATTGATACTGAATCATTCAGCGTTCGCGATGAAGCTCGTCAATTACTTGAAGAATACCTCGCTGCATCTGACTTGACCATGATTCCACCACCAGCTATGCTCGAAGAACAATCCCGCACTGGTTATTACCGTTCAATCTTCTTCAACACAAGTCGTATTGAAGCTCAAGGTACAGGCAAAGTTGTTCTTCCACGAATCAAACCATATTCAACATGGATTGCTACTGGATTCNCAACACCACCACGTCCATCACCCCCCCGTGTTTAACTGAGCATGCCGAATGATTCGAATGACTCTATTTTTTTTTCATCTGGTATGGAGAAGGAGTTTTTTATATGCATTGTAACATCTTGTCCTTTTTTTCTCTTTTAATTATCTCCTCTCCAGCTTAAATCGATCGATTTTCTTTTTCTAGTCTTATATTTATACATTTTCATCCGTCCACACTCATTCATCTATGTTTCTCTCTCTCTTCTTGTGTCCACGTCTTTTGTCTTGTCTTTCATGTCATATGTTTTGTGTTCTCATTGTCCATCGTTCACTGTGTTCGTAGGAATGTGTCAAACTAAATGTCTTGTCCTCGTCCAATTCCACACTCCGTCTCGGAATGGGTGCTGTTAAGATCGGACTAAAAAGGATGATTAAACTATTTCTCTCCTTCTCAAACACTGCATGTATATTCAAAAAATAAAAATGTAAAAAAACTAACAAAAAAAAAAGAATTTTTGACTGAAAATTGCACTTGTACCATCGGCGAATGGTTTAAAGATCAAATTTTGTCGATGGATTATCATCGTTTGTTTACCTGTTGATTCTACAGATTCAATTTCGCTTTCAATTGTTCATAAGTTTCGTGATATATATCAGATCGACCATTAGATACAAATCGATCCACAAGACCAGTGATTTCTTCAAGTAGATATTTATTCTTTTTCGATTCTTCTGAAGTTAAATCACTCAACAAGAACTGCCGTTGTGTTGCACGTTGTTTGAATCTATTACTACAAAACACGATAGTTCAGTCAAAATCAAGATATAAAGAATTAGTTTACTTGGTTGCAGCTACTCGAAGACGTTTGATGGTATAAAGAATAGTTTCAGTCGGATGCATGATTGTCAATAAAGATTTTAATGCAGTGATTTCGTTGAACTCATGATGATCATAATCTTCAATATTGTTGGATAAATTCGATTCGATAGAATCGTTTTGAATATAAAAGCGATTGTTATTAACATTCTAATCGAGAAGAAATCAACGTTTATGTTCACTAAACATATTTTTCTTACATATGGAGTTTTTCGATTGAGAGCTTCCATTCTTTCTAATGAATATTCTTGGTCCATTTCTTCGCTGGTATGAGTTTTTATTTGTTCATTTTGTGAGAATGTATTCCTGTCGAAAATACTATGATGATTGGTTTGAAAATTTCTTTCATTGCAGTCAATAATAAATTTCTTCAATCTTTCATTGTCTTGATCCAGTTCACATTTTCGTTTCATATTTATCTGAAAGACAACGTAAATCAATCACATATTTCTACAAGGAAGTGTACTCAAATGATACTTCTTATACGGAAACGATGAATAAGCACTCATTCTAGAAAGAAAAAAGTCCTATGACTATGAGATATTGAATCGTGCCTGTCTCTTTCCCGGTTTTGCGAAATTGGGGGATGTGTTATTGGAAAGTCTTTCCTCCAATTACTATAGGAAAGAAGGTGCTGTCATCTATTCTTGCTGAAAATCTGTTCTCCTCGACATAGATCGTACCGGTCACTAACGAAGTTTTGCCAATTTGTAATTATTGCGAAAGTTTGCGTCATGAAATGATTGATTATTTAAATCATCAAAGTCAGTTTGTTTTCGCAAGTTGAATACATTGAAACTAAATCATAGCAGAACATATGCTGCACGTTAACAGCGCGTTTTCAAGAAATGAAGTAGATCGAACTGAACAAACGCATTACACAGTATTTTCGAATACCAAACCGATTGATTAAACATTTTCAAAAGAAGATACCTTTCCGTGAATCGTTTATTTCCATATAGATTAAACAAAATATGACTTTATTCTGTGCTTCTTTTATATTTAGAAAGCAGTAAAAGTCTTCAGAAATAACTCGAAAATATTGGATTAACCTCTCGAGTGTGAATCCAAGTATGCTCCCTGCTGTTGTTTGTTTTATTGAGTCATAACATTGAGTTAAGTGTGAAACAACGAAAACAGCCGTGAGGTAGAGTTTGTTTATTCGATAAGTCATTTTGTTCTATGCCGACAGCAGAAAGGAATGTGTCATTAGAGAAGAAGAAGACAACAACGATTTCACGCTATCTCTTTTCTTCTGTTTGAACGTCTTCTTCTTCCATTAATACGCCTCGAACTAATTGTTTTTCAAGATTATCATGCTTATTATTCCTGCTCATGTTTCCTTGATGAGTATCAAAAGCAAATGTATGTTTTTTTCTGCGATTTTATTTTTTATGAACAAAACAAAAATATACACAATTCTACGAAATAAAACCATTCAAGAAAGTATTTCATTCTGTTTCATAACTAGCGGATTGATTTGGACTTGAATAAGACGAAGTCATCGAATGATACGCCGTCGGATAATAAGATGTTTGATATGGATCATACAGTGGATATGGATTCGGTGTTGAGGAACTCATTGAATGCGAATCTACGGACGTGTTTGGTGTCGAATACATTGCATGATAGGATGATGGTGGAGGAGGTGGAGAACACATGTAATACGGATGCGGAGGAGACTGATAGTAATTGGGAAGTGGTTGATGTGACGTGTAAGGCGATTGGTGCACTGGTGGAGATTGCATTTGTAGTTGTCGTATTTGTTGACGATAACGACGTCGACGAAAACGGCCTTGTTCAAATTCAACTTCCGCTAACTCATGAATACGCCAAACTAAACGAATATCTTTCCTTCATATCGGATTAATCAATTTTTGAAGTACTTACAATGACCTTTGCCATTATTTCCACGGCCAGCCTTCACAAAACATTCGTTTAATGATAAGTTGTGTCGAACACTATTTCTCCAAGATTTATTCACATCTTCAGCGAAATATCGATATCTAAAATAAGATTTTCATGAATTTAGACATCTTCGTCAACAAATCAACATACTTTCGTTGAAAATAATCGTAGATTTCATACAATTGCATCATTCGATTCGGTGACTTCAAGATCGCTTCAGCGATAATTTCCAAATAGGATTGACTTGGTTTCTTTGGACCATCGTTTTCATCTATAAATAGAATGTACAATCCAGAATTTCATTTCATTCGATTAATTCTTACTTGACTGATTATTAAAATCTTCTCCGATCGAACCCGTTTCATCCGAAAGACCTTCATCGACGATACCGGAATCATGAAGTTGATATTTATTACTCATAACTAAATCGTATTCGCCGTGTGTTCGATAATAAACTACAAGAAATCAAATCAAACTGTGAATATTACATAACATTGTCCGATGCTCCTCGTTTACCATTGTTAGGAGTCGATTGCATTGTGTAAAAAGAAGATATTTCGCGTTCGATCGGTTAGACAACAAACTAGGTAAGATCAGAATGAGTAATGTGAATGTTTTCCTTGTTGAATATTTCAATATAAACAAAACAATTAAAGAGAGAAAGAGAGAGAGAGAAGTGACGAAAATGAGCATTCGTCGTTTAAGATAAAACAGCGAACGATCGGAGCCAATGAAATTCGAAGAAACATTTTCTACTTAATTCGTTCAATTACAATCAATAGCCAATTAATCGGCAACTAATGAAACGAGCTTGTTCAATATCTGAGCTCCATTGCAAATCGAACGAAAGAATCGAAATTATTTTAAGCTAATATTAATCTTAGTTTTCTCAATGCTCGAAATTTGTTAACCAGAGAAAACTTATCAAGAAATATCGTAGACAATTGTTATACAGCTTATGACACCTTTTTCGTATCACTTGAAAACATAGTCAATGGCAATTGTTAATTGTATTGACAAATGAAGGTTTTCCCGTAATGTGTTTAGAAGATTAATCTTCGATTTAGTGATCTGGATCGCGAAAGAAAAGTGAGAAGGTGAAGCTCACTACAAACGATCAAAAGAACGATCGTATCATTTTGTCATGGGTGATGAATTCTAAAGATAGAGTTTTTTTTCTGCGTAAAACGCCCGTGTTTACGAAAATGAGTCATCTGTAATTCGTTTGTATATTGTAAAGGGTAATTTATTCTATGAAACAGTCTACCCAGTTCGTCGAATACAGCTGTCGTCGCCTTTTTTTTTCTTACATGGTATTATAAGCGGGCGGTAAATGAACTGTAAGAACCGAAAAAGTACATAGGTTACATGAATCACTATATATTCACATCACTGCCATTGGAATTGTAACATAACTTAATGGTGATTTAGTAGTGCAAATGATGTGGGCATATATTTTGGTCTGTCTTGTCTTATGTACGAATGGTGTTTCACCGAAATTATTCAGGAAACTTCATGGTTTGGAAACGGAATTGAATCGATTGAAATGTGACATGCATGATTTACTTGTAAGGGATGAAGTATAATGAAAAAATTATGGAAAACTTCGATGTTTTTTAGAATACATATAAAAATGAAATGGGAAAATCGCCTTTTCGAAATCGAAGTGTCGATGCGATCACCGCTGCGTGGCAAAGTACATTTCCCGATGGAAATTATCGAACGAATACAAAAAATTCCATTCCATTTCGACAAATGAATCTCAGAGGTAAATAGTCACAACAAGTTCAAGCGAAACGATTCGTCTATCATCTCATATCTAGATCCCGACACAATTCTTCGAATGGCTGAATATCAAGCAATGGTGTATTGCAAATCAAATATACTTAATTCACCTTCGGATATTTCATCGATAGTAAAGATGTCGGGAAAAAATCTTCGTGTTGGTAACTTTACAATTGCAGCGACTGGTTTCGATAAATACAATGTGTTATATTGGTACATCGCTGTAAATATTCCTCAACAATCGATTCTTCTTGTTCATCGAGGAACACGATCATCGAATCGAGTATGTTTCATGCGAAATATTCCTTTCAAAGCTCATTTATTGATGATTGTAGAACGATGTTTACGACGATCTCAATCGAGGTAGAATACATAATTCACACGGACAGCTCAGTGGTGATTTTCCTTATCTACTTCAATCGAAAGATGTTTATCTTGATAGTGGTTTTTATACAAGATTTCAACATGAAAAGATACCAATCGTAACTGCTCTTCGTAAAATTCTGCAACAATACTCATCTCCATCATTTTCTTTCGTTGTCGTCGGTCATTCATTGGGAGCATCATGGGCGTTTCTCAATGCGGCATATTTCGTAGGTCTTAATGATATCAATTCACGTTTATCAGCGATTTATACCTTTGGCCAACCTTTACTTGGTTCGGCAAGCTTTGTCAATCAGATCACAACAAAATTCGATACACCAAGTCAACGTTACGTTCGTACTGTGAATGGAAACGATCTTGTTCCCCACATTGGCTGTGAAGAGTGTGTACAACCGCAATACTCCAACGAAAAATGGGTGATGAATACCACTCAAGTCATATGGAAAGATTGTAACGGTGGTGCAGATCCTCAATGCAGCTCGGGCGTTCCGTGTAACCAACTTTCATGGGCAAATCACAGTGCAGTTGGCCGATTCTCTATGCGCAGTGAATTTTGTCGAGTTGCAAGTAATCTATGAAATACTGTCATTGCATCATCCATGCGTCAATGTTTTTTTTTGCTTGTTCTTCTCATGAGTAGTATATAAGTCATCATACGACAAACAGAGGTCGATTTTTGTAATTTTTTTTCTTGTGTGCGCGTGTTGAAATAAACAAATTTACCAATGTTATCAATAACAAACGCGATTGAAAGACACCATGAACATAAAGATAATATGCAGCTAGTGAAACAATATGAACGACGACAATTGAAGCTAGGGAAACGATTAGCTTATATACTTCGATATGGAGCGGAAAAAGAAGGTTTACAAGTCGATGAAGGTATGTTAGAGTTTTTGTGAGAAATTTCGTTTCGATTGTGTTGACCTTTCTACAAGGTTGGATTTCCTTATCTGCACTTGCAAAAGTTCCACTATTGAGTGAATATACAGAAAATGAATTACTTGGTGAGATTCAAACATCGTATTCATACAGAAAAACACCGAGATATCAATGGGAAAGACGACCGAATGGAATTTATGTTCGAGCGGCTTATGGACGAAAATTTGAACGAGTAAAATTTCTCGAAGTTGTTTATTGGAGAAAATTGATTTTGATTTTTAGAATCCTTTTCATGGACAAACACAAATTCGTCGTCTATTAGACTTGGCGTTAGAATACGTTTGTCAGAATATTGATAAATACGACTTCGAAGGATTTCCAGATGAATTTCTTATTAAGTAATTAGTTTATCTTGTCGAATAGAGGAAATACATTTGTCTTATATATTTACAGTGAAGTTATTCATCGGATTAAACGAAATGGAAAATTAACAAGCAGAACTTTACAAGGAATATTGTCAGGAACGATGGAGCATTTAGATCTCGATGGAATTTATCTTACTGGTTCGTATTTCTTCGTTAGCATTGCAAAAAATATTCACTAAGATCATTTTTAGAATCAGGAATCCGAGCTGTGTATACCAAATGTCCAAATTTAAGGGTTCTTTCATTGAAAGGTTGTGGCTACATTCTCAATGACCATTATTGTGAACAACTAATTCGAGTAAATCTCTCATCTGGATCTTTACTGAAAAGAATTTTTCTCATTTAGAAATGTCCACTTATTGAATCTCTTGATCTGTCATATTGCCGGCATTTAACTGACCGTACATTGGATAATTTAACGAAATATTATTCCGAGAATCTTCTTCATCTGATCCTTTCGGGCAATCAGAATTACACCGGTGACGCCATCGTACGTCTCGTCTCTGGCTGTCAACATCTCAGACAATTAGATATTTGGGACAATCCCAACTGTACAAACGATGTTCTAAACATTTTGATCGCATTAGGAAAATCGCGTAGCGAAGATCGTGCAATCACTATTGTACATAAACATCTTCAACATCCAGCTGTTGCCCCAGCGAATCCTTGGGCTGTAGTCAGTGCAAAGACGGTGTAAATCAAGTGTGCCTAGATTTTGTTTATTTCGATTTGTTTTTAAACAACGACATACATTTATATGAATACTGGCAAGAAGAAAGTTGACGTTGAAACAAGCACCTGTCGTTCGTGATTGACGCTTCTAAGCAGAAAAAAAAACTCAGAATTCGTTAGTTTTTTTGCTCCTGTCGAAAAGAGTCGTTTTTATCATGAACTGTTCGATAAGATATCCGCTGAAACTACTAATCATATTGATGGAAAGAAAAGAGAAAGAAGAAAAACGTTTTTTGGTTTTGTTATGCTTGTTGTTATCAAAGTGCGAATATTGCGTTAAAGACGACATAAACAAAAAATAACAGGAATAACAGCAACTACTGCAGCTAAGAAAGGAACTAAGTAACTAGATTGATCTTCCGCATAGGGATCAACCACTTTTGGTCCGCTGGTTTTCAAATTTCGTTGAACTTTCGTTGCTTTCGCTGGTGGTTCATCATATTCTTCACGCACGGGTTCTTCTACTTGTTCCGGTTCAGGTATAGCGGGTAATTTCGGTATTTCTTAAATTAAAAAAAATGCAATCGAATGAGAAGACTATCTGAACAAGAAATATTCTATACGTACGATCGACTGAGCCCTTCCAAATGATCAGTGCATTGACTTTGGGATTATCTCGATGGTCAAGCTTTTGAAAAGTAACTTTCAAAGTTCCTGAGTACGATGAACTACGAGTTTTAACAACTAGACGGCCGTTCTTTATTTGAAATGGAATATATTCGTCATGTGCAGTTGCTCGACCAGCTTTGGAAAATATATCAAATTCCTCAAGAATAACATGTTCGTCGTTTAAGACAATTTGGAAAACCTAAATCATCCAAATGAAAAGATCGTCGTCGAGTTGATGAGAAACAAACTTTCATATTAGCTCCATTGAACCAAACTTCAGCGAATTTCATCCAAAGAACATAGTCACCATCATCAGCAAGCTCGATTTCATACGAAAACTGCTGTAAATCATATCGTTCAGTTTGATAAATAATCATATCTTCAACTGGAACACGACTAATACTTAAACTTCGTCCATAGTCCGACGCAATTCCACTTTTGAGAAAATCTTTTCGATATCTTACGCCTAACCAAATGAAAAACATATTAATCAACACTTGTCATCCTGTACAAGTATACCGTTCGCATCTATGTGTGCATCACCACCACAGTTCACCGCAAATATCACATTATCCATAATTCCTGCGGAATAACATTGATGAATGATGAAGAATAACACATGAAGATATCGCATTTTTGTCTTGATTGAAAGAATATGAATGATTTGAAAAAGAAAAAGTAAACAATCCATATCAATGTTGCATGATATCAATGGTTTAACAAATAAACCAATAAAATCTAGCCTGAGGTCGCTCTCGAGTCAAAACTTGTCAATAGTGACACAGAATGAGAAGAACGGAAGAAGAAAAGACGGATGACAGGCTCAAACTCTTCTAAGGAAGTAGATGAATTCTATTTCCTAGGTGTTCTTGGAAGAAAAAAAAAGAATCAAACAAATCAAATTCAGTTGAGTAAAGCGTGTCGTTCCTGTCAGATGGCTAGTTCTTACAAAGATGCAAGCTCGTCCAATGGATTTAAATTGAATTCGATGAATTTACGTGATGCAGATTCAGGAAAATTGCTTTGGCAATCTGAGGATGATCTGTAAGTGTGAAATGATTTGTCTAGTGTTTTTACCGAAAATCTGGTATTAATGTAGATCGAAACCGGGCACTGAACATGAAGCACGAGTACCTAAATCAATACTTCGATGTCGCGCGGTGTCACGAGAAATGAATTTTTCATCCAAAAATGAAATGAAGAATTTCCGTTTAGAACAACGTGTCTATTTCAAACATGTTATTATCGAAGGTAAGATTATCATTCTATTCTCCCATAAAAACTCCTGATTACGAAATTAGAATGGGCATTTTCCTTCGGGTTTGTCATACCCGGATCAACAAACACTTGGCAATCGTTAATTGAAGGAGCAGAAAATAACATGATACCAGCTAATCTACTCAAGTAAACGACGAATGTTTTGATTTTTGTATTGAATTATGTTTTCTAGTGGAAATGTGGTGATCGAAACAAAATTCTACGATGGAAATGAGGAAATACAATCGTCACGTGTTCGTCTATTATACGTTTAAGATTTGTTCAGCATGCCAAATAAAACACTTATCCATTGATCTTTCTAAACGCGTAATAAACGAGATTTTCGCTATTCAAACCGCGCCATTCATGAAAATTAAGAAGCATCGGGTAGATAAAGAGTCTTATATTTAAAAGTTGTCATGAAATAACTAAGATAAGAAAAATATATGAAAAGAATGTCATTTTACCTGACGAATATCACCATTGCATATTTATGAAATCTTTCTTAACTATGACCTTTCTCGGCGATGCCAAGTTCTAATTTTTCTAATGAATTTCTCTTTGTTCAGTAGACAAAATGTTTTCTCGACCTGTTATGGTAATACTCTATTTAAAAAGCTCAAAGATATGTGGATCAAACGATATAGTCTTATCATTTATATCAGAATGTCCATGTCACCTACAGATAAACAGATAGTGGAATAAGAAAAGAAAAGAAAACAGACTTGATAATAAAACAAGTGAGCAGTCGACAAATAATATCGACATTTCGTTCTATACGAGAAAACAATCATGAAGGATTTTGCAGCAGGACTATTCGCTGGTAAGATTATTTTGTTAGCTGATCAAAAAAGAAGCTCTCAGTTGTTTTCAGGTGTGATTAGTACATTAGTTTCACATCCGATCGATACACTCAAAGTGACTATGCAATATCATTCAACGCATAGTATTCCTGGAGCTATAAAATCGATTATTCAATTGAATTCTGTATGAGAAAGTATATACTTGGAAGAATATGATTTTGTTTTGCAAATTCCGTGTAGATTCAAGGCTTTTATCGTGGTGTCACACCACATTTATTAACACAATGTGCATCTCAAACGGCATTTTATGGTTCTTATGCAAGTTGTCTTCGTATGTTGGGTTGTAATCGAGATAATCGTGCAGCAATAACATTATTTGACAATTTCGTTGCTGGTTCCTTCGGTGGATTCGTTCAATCCTTTCCTTCAAGTGTTTTAGAGTTACTCAAGATTCGTCTTCAGACAACAGGTAAGATTTGTTTTGAGAAAACATTCATTTTTTGCTCTTCACTTCGTTCAGCTCACCAACAGGAAGCAAATTTTTATCAAGTACTTCGGCATGTGCTTCAAACAGAAGGTATTCGAGGTCTTTCTCGTGGTTTACATGCAACTATTTGGCGCGACACACCTACGTACGGTAAGGATTCAAACTTACTTTCTTATCAAAGGGAAGAAGGATGTTTAAGACTAAAAAAACTTATTATTTTCAACAAATCTGCCAAATTAATCGAGCTTAGTTGAGTTTATCACAATTGACACCCTCCAAAGCAATCATCATATCTTTTCCAGGCATTTACATGATGATTTACGATCCATTACGAGACTATTTACACGAACTACTCAGTAGTGAATTTCTCGGTGGATTCATCTCAGGTGGTACCGTCGGAGTAATCAGTTGGACATTGGCCTGTCCAGTTGATATATGTAAAAGTAAACAACAAGCTGGCTACACAAATAAGAACTTAGGGCAATGTCTCGTGGAAATCTATCGAATAGAAAATGGTATACACGCGTTCTATTGTGGCTGGTCAGCAATAGCTACACGTGCGTTTCTTTTAAACGCTGTTTCACTTCTTGTCTGGGATCATAGTCGGCGTTGGTTTGGTTAGAAAACGCGGCGAATATCCGTTAGAATTTTTACCATTTTCTGTCTCTTTGATCCATATAAATATTGAATACCAGGTTGAATTTGAACAATTATCTTTGACTTGAGATCATTGTTGGCGACGAAGTCGATGTGCTTATTGCAGACGCTTTCGTTCGTCGTCTGTTTCTATGGTGATGGACTTTTGGTTTTGCCCAAATATTCGGAAATGCGGACATATTTAAGAACGATGAGAAACAGCAAGGGACATACGTAAATGCATCGGAAATTTGGACACACCACGGCGAGTTCATCAATGGGCAAAAATTGTGTAAGAAGTTCAAATTTGTGAGAACATATGGCACGAGACCGACGAGATAAATCGAGGAAAACAGTAAAATTTGTCGTGCTAAGTGTTTACATCGACGCCAACGTTTCGGGGGTAAACGAAGAACTGTTAAGCGTAAACGAATGATCCTTACGACTAAGAAAAATGTCACGAATATCGTCAGAAACAACGGTAATATCAAACTTAAAATTGTATCGATTAAAAAGACAATATTGTGATTTTCAAAGCACGGTCGACATTCAAGTGTTTACAAGAGCGTTCCTTCGTATGTACATGTGGACGCAAGTATTGAATACCATAGAATTGGCAAACTTATCGCCAGAAAATGCGGAATCAGTTTAAATCTCAATGTCGATTACCGTTTTGTCAAATGAATTGGGCCGAAGATGAGTATATGGCGTTGAATTGGTGTCCAACAAACGAGTAAACCAAGAGAAACAATCGATGGATAATCAAATATTAACTTGATTTTACATAGAAGCGACGAAAAGAGAAAATATAGGCTAAAATACAGTTCAAACAGAAACAGTGGTACACATGTGCAATTTGTGAATAAACAAACATAAAGAATGAGACGAAATGTAAAAACACTTGATTTTTTGTTGTAATTCAACCGATATAAAGCAAAAAGATTAATAAATACGCTTGGAATAGCTATACCAATAATCAGAATAAAAAGAATTCGACTGATAAGAAAACTTAACACTGAAGATGATTCATTCAGCGAAACAAACATTCAGTATCGGTATTGATTCAACTAAATAGATCTCTTTCTGGTTTGAATCATCGTTCATATTCTCATCTTTTGATCATAGGGATTTCTCTATAGAATACTTGAGTATTTAGATAGAAATATAAGCAAA